TTTCTGCAAGAATGCACTGAGCCAGAAACAACAGAAATGTGTATTTGTATTATTATGTACATAAACTTATTGACTTTGAAGGGATTAACTTGTAGATCAATAAGGGAGAAATTCATTACAGCAATCAACTTCAAGGAACTAGAACTAACCAAGATACATCATTCTGTGTGGAAATGAAATTTACTTCAGTACTGCTACAGTTTAAAACAAACCATAAAATGGAATCATCACATTGTACCAGGAAATTTTGCATAAGCCATCTGATAGATTTCAATGCATTTATACATCCCCTTGCCTCCCAGCTCCTATGAAAGATGGCGAGATCAATGGATGATGATGAGCAATATTTAAATGAATTTCTAAATGACTATAATAAAAAATTTAGTTGACTCAACCCCTGCTGTTCTGGGCTGTAACGTTATGAGCTCTATTTACCTGAAAGCATGTATGCCTATTAGACTTGGCAGGAGTTTCTCAACCTTGGTATTAAGTAGAATATCTGTTTAAAATGAACCAAGCATCATGCTATATCAAGTCTGTTACTTCAGGCTGGGATAAAGCAGCATGCTAACCTCCTGTACATGACGCGGACAGAAGACAATAAATTGTTTCGGCTTTTTTTTAACCTTGCTTGTGAGCTAAAACGTTCACAAGATATGGATGACATTGAAAAATACTGCAAGTTTATTTTGATAGGCACTCACTATAAAATATTTAAATACACAAAAAGGAGGGAGATGGGTTAAAATTCTGCAAACTGAAGAGATTGTGCATCGATTAGAAAACACCAGAAGGGAGAGTTTTCTTCAACAGAAAGGCAGGAACAAATGGGTGTACTTTATAAAAACGGAGTGGATGTCTACTGGGGGCAGGAGAGTCCCAACACATCGCACCCAGATGGCATCCATCCCAGCAAATCACACCCCATGTGTGCAGGACACTGAAAGGAAACGATGTACTTAAATACAAAGAGTGTGATCAAACCCAACAAATGAGCAGAATGAAAGGCAAGAGAGAATCCTGGTGGAGTTCAAGGGCCATGGTGCAAGATAGCAATGCAAAGAACATGTCCACCCCCTAACAGCAACAAGGAATCCTGAAAGGTCAGATTCTTACCAGAACTCAGTAAAGACCTGAGCAGTTCGTAACTGACAACAAAAAAAAAGTGATAAGTATTCTTGCAAAAATACAAAAATTCATGTACAGTGTAGAAACCATGGTGCTAAATTTCATTCAAATGTTTGCTTATAAACCAATACATTGCTGTAACATGAAAGAAATAAAGTACGAAAATCGCAGTTTAAATGTAAATGGATGTGAACTACGTTATTTTGCCTATCCATTTAGTACTTTTTTCTTTAAACTAGTTTTTTAATTTCTTCGAACTTTTTTTTTTTCTAACAAGGTTTTCACACCTATCTGGAAGCCAAGAGGAATTTATGCAGCATTTTGATAAAGGAATGATGTCTGAAATATATTAATCTTGCATTTATCTCAAAGAGAAATCAACATAAAAAATCAGAAATAATATGAAATACAGCTAAGTCAGTGAAACTCATAGAAAAAAGGAAGCAATGTAGGAAAATAATAGTATAGAAGAACATTTATTTAAAAACTGTGTCGAACAACAAAATTAAATGTATGAGCTTACTTTAGTCCTTATTTCTCCAAAATATTATGCAAAATAATTCTTTCACAATATATGAAAAATGAAAATCAATGCATGAGTTTCAAAACCTTTTGGTAGCAAAATAAACTCATGCTTTAAAATAGTTGGTGATGTACTTATTTATTTGAAGGTAGACATACATTTGCACCCACATCCATTCATGCTTCAAAAGTTCATGGCAGCCAGGGCTAGACCTGACTGGACCTTAACCCAGGTGTCCCAGCCACCCTAGCCATCACCTGCTGCCCGCAAGTTCTGCATTAACAGGCAATTGTAGTCAAGATCTTGGAATAAAGATCTGGGTGACGACAGACAGTAAAATGTGAAATAAACCATAGACCCCAGTCCTATATCTGAGATGTTGAGTTTTATTCCAGTAAAACTGGGGTCTTTTTAAACCACTAAGCCAATTGCATACCCCTAAACTCACACTTTAAATTCCATTTTTCCATAGACCTTTCATGTTACTCTCATATATTAAATTGATTTTCAAATTATAGTGTATTCTAAGGCTAAGCATTTTTCTAATTAGCCAATAAAGAGTGAGAAGAAATAACTAATTCCCAAAATGAATTTATTCTTTCACATTTGGACAGGTAATCATTTTTTTGTTCTTTGAATACAATGAATGAACAAAAGAAAATCCAATTAATGTTTAAAAAACATAAAAGATCTATATACTGCCTTATGGTGTGAAAACACCGTAAAACTCCTAGAAGCAGAAAGGGACAAGGACCGAGGAGGCATGACTATGGTTGAGCCTTGCTCCTGATGGCCAGGGGATGTCAGTGTGTGGCAGCATCGTCACTATGAGACTGAGTGGGACGGCCTGGCATCTTGGTGGATTTGTGTAGCCACACATCACAGATAGAACACAATGGCTGCTCTCTTCTAAATTACTGTGTATAGTAACTGTCAAGCAATCATCTTTGCCAGATTCTGGGAACCTCTCCTTGACTTCACAAGCTTAACAAATGGTACAGCACCTACACAGAGCAGCATCTTTCCTTAGATGCTTGCTGACACTGAGCACAAAAACATCCCCTAAAAGTTGCTTCTAATAGGCACTTGTATGGTGACTCTTCTGCTTAGTCCTCAATATGTGGTGCCAGCATGCCACACGGGTGTGGTCTTGGTCCTGGCATCTCTACTTCCAACCCAGCTCTCTGAGTATGGTCTGGCTTTGGATGAATTCAGATCTGGACATTGCAACCAGTTGGGGAGTGAACTAGCAGGTGGAAGATCTCACTCTCTCCCTCTCTCTGTGAATCTGCATTTCAAGTGAAAAAAAAATAATGCATTCTTTAAAATGCCTCTAAAAGCTTGATTTTAAGAACACTTAACAACTTTTGTTGTCAAGGAATTTATAATCCTGGTAAAGCAGGGAGCACTTCCACGAAATAATGGTAATATGGTGTAAGACTTTTCTAACAAGGCACCACATGGCAGACTACAATCTGAGAAGGTATGAAGCAAACAGTTAAGAACACTTTGTAGAGGGGGTGCTTGTTCTTAAAAAAATCACCTTGATTTCAAGAGAGAAAAAAGGCTAAAGGATGAATTCCAAGGCAACCAAGAAAAAAAAATCATTGTTAGAGAAAAAGAAACGCTCAGTCAGTCCTAACAGAGAAATATGTTAATTAATCTAATGTAATCATCAACAGATGTGTACATGTGCCAGAGAATCAGATAGTGCTTTTAAAAACTTAGCAATCCTGTTTTCTCAAACACGGGTAAATAAATGAAGAAACAGAAGAGTGAGAGAGATACAGGGAAGTAAGGCCACGGGGGACTGGTGAGGTGGGTTAAGCCCTCACTGGGATACCTACATTCCATATCCGAGGGTTATCTCATGTGCCAGATACTCTGCTTCCAGTCCAGCTTTTTGTTAATGTGCCTGAGAGCCAAAGAAGACGACCCACGTGCTTGGGTTGCTACCACCCATGTGGGAGATCCCAGTGCAGTAGTGTGGCCCAGCTGCCTGTTGCAGGCATTGGAGGGGTGGACCAATAGATAGTCGCTCTCTCTCTCATTCTGTGTGTGTGTGGACATGCATTTGATATATACATCAAACGTTTAAAATTAATTTTCATATTAATTAACTACTTATAATGCAAAATAAGCACATTAATACTTCAGTCATTTCTCCTCAACTTTCTTGCCTTGTTTTACTTCATTTAAATTGTCTTTCTATTTTGCTGAATTTTAAACCACAAAAGACATATCATGCTTTCTCTTAAGTTATCAATAGAATTCTAAAATCAATATACTAAATTTAAGATAATTCTTTTGACCTTGAGGTCATGTGGTTTATTTCAGGCACTCTGTGCGTGAAACAAGCTTCCGGGCACCTTGAGGATTGCTCTTGGCATCCACACAGCCTATCTTTCAATTCCTGAAAACAGACTCACTTTGCTGAAGAGAATAACCCAACATGCTAATTAATACCGGTACCAATATACAGTCTTCTAAAGTGCAAGTAGAAATGGCACTTCCAGTAATGATGATGCAGCACCTTAGGCAACAACTTCCCCAGTCAATAAAACCAAGAGAAGTACAAAGGAATGTTATATAACAGCTGCCCAAAGCATTGGCAATCGACCAAGACAGTCACAACTTGAGTATCCAAAACAGAGATGACAGAGGCCAAAAAACAATGGGGTAATAGCTAAAACTGATGGAAAATTTCCAAGGACTACCAAGAAAATAAAATTAAGAACTTTTCCAAAAACAAAGGACAAAATTTCACATCAGCAAACAAACACAAAAAGATGAATAACTTGACTGAATTGACATGGAATTAACAAGATTTTTGAATATATGTGCTTCCAAAGGCGTCAATTGTCCTAGAATCGACAAGTTCTGAGTACATGTGCTTCCCAACACATCAAAGGGACAGCAACACTGACTGTGGGAGGAACCAAAAAGCATGACTCAAAATTTATAAAGCATTACCATTGTTTAGAGGAAGCTGTGTCATCCACTGTAAAATCTTCAAATATTTAAAAATTATCCTGACAGCTCCATTATGATTCAGGTTCCTGCTAATGCACCTGGGAAAAGCAGGGGAAGGTGACCCAAGTGCCTGGCATTGCTGGTACTCATGAGAGACCAGGATGGATTTCCTTATTTCCAACGCCATTGCAGTCACATGAATGAATGAACAGCCTGAAGATTGCTGTGTGTGTGTGCGTGTGTGTACATTCGCAAATGTGTCTCACTCTATGTGTCAAATAAATTACAATAAAAATAGTTTTAAAACCTAAAATATGTTTCATAAAAATCTTTGGTTCAAAGGAGAAACCTCAATGGAAATCAAAAAAACACTTACGTGAATTACAATGAAAATAGGTGGAAACCTGGAGAAATGGTGCAGATGAGAAGTCATGCTTACAGATGTGTTCAACACACCTGCCAAAAGAAGAGAGGTGGAAATCATCAGACGCCCAAGGATTCAGAAAGCTCGGAAGGTGTAGACCACATTCAACTGGACCATCTCTAAATCTCTTTACTACCAATGCTAATTGTCTCTCAACCTAATCACTTCATTGTTAAGGCAAAACTACCTTTAGTTACCACCGTCCACCACCCTTAGCTTTGAAAAAAAAGTTATTAGAAAAAGGTTTGTGTTTTCTCCACTGCTGTTTTTGTCTCCAAGTTGCTGCTTGAGCCGCAACGTTCTGCTCACTTTTTGTGTTTTCTTTACTTACTCTGTACTTGCCTCTCCCTGGGGTTCTTGGACTGAATAGCTTTCTCTTCCTCTGCACATGGTCAATGTCAACATGTATGCTGCCACCTAACAGTATCATCCTCTGCTTCCTTGCTTGCCTCTCTGTTGTTTTTCTAGATCCTCTGATGCTTGTCTCTCCTTAATGGCTGACCACCTTCTCCCACCCCGAAGATTTCTCGGGACTTTGTTCTTGCTTTGGTGCCCGTTTGACACTTAGAAGCTTCAGGTGCTCAACAACTGCAGTAGATACTGAGGTTTCTCAAATGTGTATGTGCAATGCAGGCTTCTTTCCTGAGCTCTAGGCTAAATTTTATAAACTAAAATTCTTCTTGGCTTCTTCTCAGAGGAAATGACAAACATTTCTGCTACAATGTCTCTTCCAGGTGGTGGGTTGTAACACAGAGGGTTGAGCCATTACTTGGAATGCCTACTTCACCATGTATTGAATTGAAGCGTTTGGGATCCATTCCTGCCCTAGCTTCTGCTTCAGCTTCTTGCTAATGGTGAGCCTGGGAGGAAGCAGTTGAAAGCACCTGTGTCCCTGTCACCCATAAGGGGACAGGAATTGAGTTCCTAATTCCTGGCTTCAGCCTGATACAACACTGGCTGTTATGAGCACCTGACCAGCAAACCAGCAGAAGGAATCTCTCTCTCTCTCTCTTTCGCTCTCCTTCTACCTTTCAAATGAATACATCTTGAAAAATTTAAATGAATAAACAGAAACAACAATCCTGTCTCCCACACATGTTGGATGCCTTATATGCGGATAAAATGCAAGAGGCACAATACTTCACACCGTGGACTAGCACAAACTTGATATTACAGTGAAACAAATTTGTTAAAGAAAACTGCAATAAATTAACACCCCAAGAAAATTGATGAGAGCTTGGGGACTTGGGGGCCGGCACATATTGGGGTTGGTGGTGTGAGGCAGAGGGAGGATAAATCTTTTGACAAATCCTCATATGTTCCCTAGCGGTTCCCGACCATCCATTGACATGAGTACCAAGTACAGCATCACTTTAAGCTTCACAAACAGAAGTCTTCACGCCACTGCGTCTTGAGCAAAGACTGCGCTGCGTAAACGCTGTCAGCGCGGCTTTGTGATGTCACGTGTTGTTAGTTTTCTTACATCTATTTGACCTATCTGTTCCTGGTAGTTCTTATTTGAAAATCAACAGAAAATTTTGCACCATCTAATTTTTGTAAAATCTGATATGAAGTGATTGACTTGTTTATCAACTTATTCATTCAGCTCATTTTGAAGGTCTGTTACGTGCTAGAACAGAAATAAAAGCTCCTCTTCACAGAGTTAATTTTCCCAGAAACAAACTAGAGCAAGTAAAGAATGTATGACCATGTACAAGAAGGAAATAATCTATATAACATACATATACTTACCTGGAATAAAAGGATTGGAATGTAAGAACTCTATTGAGATTAAATAACCCCAGAGTGTCTTCTTTTTTATTTAAAGATGTATTTATTTTTATTGCAAAGTCAGGTATACAGAGAGGAAGAGATATAGAGAGGAAGATCTTCCATCCACCAGAGCTAAGCTGATCTGAAGAGAGGAACCTCTTTCAGGTCTCCCACATAGGTACAGAGTTCCAAAACTTTGGGTTGTCTTCTGTTTTCCCAGGCCACAAGCAGGAAGCTGGATGGGAAGCAGGACCACCGGGATTAGAACCAGTGCCCATTAGGGATCCTGGTGCATGCAAAGCAAGGACTTTAGCCACCAGGCTACCACACCAGGCCCCAAAATGCCTTCTTAATTAAAAAGACACAGTTTTATAATGTTCAAAATTCAAACATAAATATACTGGAAATATTTTGTATTCTTGATAATGTCCTGTGTTTCTCATCTCTACCACAAATTTCACCTTTATTCTGAAAAATGTGACTAAAATTTCAGAAGTTAAAAGCAAGAGAAAGTTTGAATGGCTGTGAAACAAGGTCTTAGAATATAATCATGATTTCAACAGTAATTATACTGTGTATTTTGAGAAGCTATAATCAAGAATTGAAAGTCGTTTTTTGTCTAAGTTTCAAAATCCTGAAGCAACAATTTTATACAATGAATGCATCTTTGTAACAAACTCTGAGACAGAAAACAACTTACTTATAGTTCCTTATGTGAAAACGAATCCCAACAGAAAATGGTGCCAATCTTCTCTTTCCTGGGCTCCTTATCTTGATGCTTTTTGCAGGTCATGACAGGTTAAGAGAGCAAGCAGAGGAAGGAGCAACGGCAAATGCAATCAGCATCAATAAATTTTAAGGCCATTTTGAGAAATAAAATATGGCTACTTTGATACAACAGATTTTATAGTACAAGAACAAAAAGTAATTATGAGCCCAGCTATTTTTCCAAAAACTTATTTCATGGATATTTAAAAAATTATAAATCAAGTATCTATTGCTACTTATCCATAAGCTTTATTAACATAATACCTATGCTATTACTAGTTAGCGTCACCTTCATGTTAATGCATTTTTAAAAGAATATCATTTATCTTTCTTTCATCTAATGGAAATCATATCTTGAGCACCTGCTATGGAATCGTTATAAATAATACATTATTTATTCATACTTAGGCACTACCTAATTCTGTTGACATAAATGCAAAAGAAATCATCTTGGGAAATTCAGTCCATATTGGTTAATTGCATTTTGTTTAATCAAAGTGCAAAAAAAATCATCTTGTTTTAAGTATTCAGTAAAACAAAAAGGGAGTGTTTTGGCCCTACTCCCTCCCTGGCTGCAACTTCTGGAATATTACCGAGAAGAAGATCTTTTATACAATATATTTCCTAAAAATGAATAACTAAGATGTTAGAAATTCTGGTTATATTTTATGATAAACTTGCATGCTTATTTGGCTATGTATGTTTCTACTCTTTCCTAACAGAATTAAAAATATTCCTTGAGATCACTTGGGCTTCCTGCTATTGAGTGTTCTTCCTTTTTCCAAATGGGGAAAGTTTTCAGCTATTATTTCATTGAACAGATTTTTCCAAGTCACTCTCCTTTTCCATCACTTTGAGAACTCTCAACATTGTGTCTTTATTTACCTGCTGTAAAACATGTCTACACTACTACTCATGGGAGCTTTGTTAAAGATAAAAGCTCAGAGAACCAGCTGTTTAACAAATGACCCAACTTTCCTTTTCTCCACTTATTACTCTGTGGTCATCAAAGTCAGAATCACGAAAGGTAAACTCAGTGTCGCTTTGCTCTCAATTAACCTGCTAACGTCTATATTGGATAAAACAGATGATATACCTAGAACAGCCACTAATTTTTATGTCCTACTTTGTAGTCCACATATCAATTTTTAATTTCTATGATATTTCTGCATTATCACCAGCTGTAGTTAATCCTGTATTGCAGGGAATAAATAGAGAAAATCACAAACACAAACAGAAAGTATTTCAATCAGATCTTACTCTCGGTCATATTCCAGAAGTTGCTTTTTTTCAGTAATACAATTTCTAGAACTATGGACGTCATTAAAGAAATATCTAATTTATTTACTTTAACTGCCATTTAATAATCTATTGCTTGAATGTAATACAATTATTTTTAATTCCACTCACTGATTGGCATGGGGATTGCAAATACAAAGAATGCTGAAATGAGCAGTTTTTTTTTTATAAATTATTTGCTTTTGTTTAGTTTTTGAAAGGTAGATTTTACAGAGAGAGAAAGAGAGACTGAAAGAGAGGTTCTTCATTGGCTGGTTCACTTCCCCAAATAATCACAATGGCCAGAACTGAGCTGGCCAGGAGCCAGGAGCTTCTTTTGGGTCTCCCACAAGGGCAGGACCCAAAGACTTGAGCTGTCCTCTGCTGCGTTCCCAGATGATAAACAGGGAGCCAAAACAGAAGTGAAGCAAGCAAGGCAGAAACCCATGCCCATATGGATTGCCCACTGCACAGGAAGAGCAGTAGCCTGGGATTGCACCATGCCAGCCAGCCCTGACATGAACAGCTTTTACACTTGTTAAGCACATCGGGAGAACAGCCTTGCCCGATGTAACTTTCTGAAATGGAAACGGTTAGTGCTGTGTAGTGAGAGTATCCATGTAGAAGCCCAGCACCTTGCGGTCCCTGGCCGTGGGATCTGAAGTAGAAATAAGAAGCTGGGAAAGGTCCCTTTTAGTGTCTTGCTTACGTTTCCATGAACATGTGAGAATGCTCTTTAGACCCTTCAGGTGAGGATATTTATAGTATATTTCTCAGAAATGCTGAGGAAGTGTGGGAATTCAGTATATTATTAAACAAAAATTTATAGGTCTGTAAATAAGAAATACATGAGCAGAAACACATATAATGATCTCTTGCTTGATACATATTTCATTGTATTTAATCTACTTAATACCACAATCTTGCTGGGGCAGCTTTTTGGACTCTTTTTAAACTCATAAAAAAAACAGTCAAACTGACACATCCTCAAACCAAATTACATAAGGAAAAATGTGCTTCCACACACTTACACCAAGAAAGGTGTTTTAAAGTAGTAACCGCAACTACTGCATGTTACATCATTAGAAACTGCAGTACTCGGAAACCTCTTTTCCCTTCATGAGATCCGGGGAGGATTGAGCCATGGGGATTTCAAGGTAGAGGCATTGAGGATCACTGCCACTGATATTCAGAATCATTACTGAAAGAGGGGGTAGCAAGTAAGGAGAGATAAGAGATAGGTCTGTTCAACCAGAGATGAGATCAAGTTCTTTTCAATAAATCTAGGGAGACAACACTGCCTGAAATAAACGACCCCCCAGTGATGGCATGGGTTATGGTCAGAGCTCCTTGAGGCTGCTGGAGTCACAGTGGGGGCTGCCGAAGCATTAGTGGAGAGAAGCTCTGAAAACAAGGTAGGCAAAATATTTTCTGTTGAGAAGATTTAGGATCTTCCCTGATTCTGGGAAAACTGGGATCTGGAGGAAAAGACAAGAAGACAGCGGGTGAAGGTTCTGCAGAGAGTCAGCATTCAGGTGAAGTCCCAGAGACATTTTAAACCTACTGACATATACATTTCTATTATTTTAATTGTACATATGTGGATGGCAACTCTTCCACAGAATTTCTAGCTGCCAGGGTAATTTTCAGAGATTGATTCTCCTTGTTCAGTGTGAAAACTTAATTTACTTTAGCACAGGTGTAGCTACAACAATAATTATGAACCTTCCTTGCTCCCGCTGCCTTGTTCCCATCCACCATATCGTGACTAGCTTCAGTCCTTTACACGATGTTTTCTCATTGATATCTCAGTTCCTAAATACAAATTATTGTATTTTGGCGCTGTTCAAAAACTGTCAAAAATCGGGCCCGGCGCGATGGCACAGAGGTTAAGGTCCTCGCCTTGCACGCCCGGGATCCCATATGGGCGCCGGTTCTATCCCGGCAGCCCCGCTTCCCTTCCAGCTCCCTGCCTGTGGCCCGGGAAAGCAGTTGAGGATGGCCCAAAGCTTTGGGACCCTGCACCTGTGTGGGAGACCCGGAAGAGGCTCCTGGCTTCGGATCGGCGGCCCGTTGCGCTCACTTGGGGAGTGAATCATCGGACGGAAGATCTTCCTCTCTGTCTCTCCTCTCTGTATATCCGCCTTTCCAATAAAAAAAAAATAATAATAAAAATAATAAAAATTTTTTAAAAAGCTGTCAAAAATCAAAAAAGTGAGCAAAAATGAAGAAAGGAAGGTAGGCAGGAAGGAAGGAAATGAGGAAGGAAGGGAGAGAGGGAAGAAGGAAGGAAATATGAACGACTATTCTAACCTTACTGAGGAATCTTGCAAGTTGCCGGGAAAGAACCTTTGCACTCACCGTTCTCCGACTCAGACGCCTGCTCATCATCACAAGTACCCACAGCCTTGCAGCACCAGGTCTCCGAGCAGCACAGTGAGGGCCAATTGCCTGTTTAAGAGACAGAAGGTTCGTTTAATTGCAATCATTGAAGGATGAAGTAGAAGGAGAAACCCCAGGTTCTATATGTTAGCTAGGATGACCAAGGCAAGTACTTGATGCAAATCTGAAATCATGCTGTCTCTAACCACCACACCCATTCCTTCTTTTCTGGGCAACTCTTGTTCCCAACTTCCATTGTATTCTTCCTGATATACTCTCCTGTGAATATTTTAAACACGGGAAATCATTGTATCACATACAGCATTCTGGGTCATTCGTTGACTTTAACTTGATCAATATGCTTGTATTTTCATCTCAGGACTTACGTGTAGCTTTGCACACTTTTTAGTTGCTCTAAAATTCTACTTTCTTTACGGCCATGTCAACATATACCCAAGTAAAGACAGAGTCTTAAAGAGTGGGAGAGAATATATTTTCAATCAATAATCAGCAAATATGTGTTTTCTAAACATGTTCATGAAAATGAACCTTATGAAAAGTTACGCATAGAATTTCAAACCGTTTGACACCAAAATAAACCTAGATCTTAATCCCTTCTAAAGACTTTCTTTCACACACACAGTTCTCTATGCCGCTGTAACTAACAAGGCAGTATTTCACGTGTATCCTTAATCTTTACTGAGGCCTGAAATAATTCACAATAGCACTTAAGTAGATAAAGTACTGGAATACATACTGCCTTGCGTTTATTCAAAGGAGTGCAATGTTTTGTCTGCCAAGAATTTGACATTTTTGCTTAAGGATAAGATAAGAAAACATTTAAGTAAGCATAGAAAGAAAACAGACTCAGCTAAGTAATAGGAAAAAAAAATCAGAAAAGAAAAAAACAAGACCACACAAATTAACTGCAGCCATTTAGGGAGAGTGCAGATGAATATAGACTGAGCATGTGGAGAATAACGGTTATATGTACCACACACACACACACACACACACACACACACACACACACGATGGGAAGCTTATACTCCATGACTGCTCACAGCCAAAATAATGGCTGATGAAAGTTACCAGGTGGGAAAAATATTTGAGCAGATGATACATTCTTTTGTGTTTCCTCTAATGCTGAAGAACAGTTAAATCAACAACTCAGCCTTAAAAGCTGTCGAGAAATGTAAAGCCGAGTTGGTACAATTTAGCAAATGTCATCCATCCACAAAGCCCACACCAAGCCAATTCCCAACAGCCAACAGTTTCCCCTTTATTTTCTCTATAATATTTAGCTCTTTGCCTTAATTACACTTGATATTTGTAAAGAGAAAGCTGGCGTGGTAATAATTGGATAGCTTTTTTATCTACGTTGGCAGAAATGGGATTTTCTTTTATATTTGAAGAGCAAAACAAAAGCATAACTTCCTTTTCTCACCAACTTGATGCCAAAACTATCCTCTGACTCACACAGCTTCCTGAGATTGTGTTCTTGTGAAAGTTTGGAAGTGCTGTCTGCAGGCTGCTGTCAGCCCCCAGGCCCGCCACGGCCAGCTCGGGAAACCCGGGCCTGTCCACTCTCCATGGCTATTTCTCTCCCTTTCATCTTCTTATCCCTTATCCCAAGACCCCCTCATGCTTACCTTTCACCCCTTCTTTCCATGCTTTCTCATTCATTTTCCAGCATACAACTCTCCCTCTCTCATAGAGAAAGCAAAGTAATGACAACCTTTTAAAACAAGAGATGCGAGAGAAATTTAGTAACCTCAATTTAGAAACAAGATTCTCTTCCTAGCCTCAGTTTTGGTGTATGTGTTTAAAAAGACTCATCTACTAAGAGCCAAAATCTCAACACACCAAATTCAGCTTTGACAAAAAAAAAATAATAATAATTCCAAATAGGAAAATATTTTTCAGTGTCGAGTTAAATATGTTAATATCTAGAAAGCATTTTAACATTGAGGGATAATGTTTTATGTATTATTAAATCAAATGAAATGTATTCTTAAACTTTTAATTATATTAAGGCATCAAAATTGCATTATTGAACTTTAGGACAGTTTAATATAAATTAATGCCACTTTGAGTGGATTAGACCAAATTCAAATGTGGATCTATGAAAGTTTATTAAAGAGCAGGTTTCCTAAGTTCTCATCCTCTTATGCTATCCCCTATATTTCCTGGATGCCAAAAAAAACATTTTTTTCAAATTTTAAAATTCATTTTGCAAGCAGAGTAGATAACCCCAAAAGCATAAGACTGTACCAAAAATTCCATTTATATACTCAAAATACCTGTTTTCAGTCACTACCTAGGTGTAAATCTTCAAAATTTTAGCTGACGGGTTTCACTATGTAATAAAACATGTCAAATTCAAACTGACAAATGGATTTCATTTTTTGGAGGATTTTCCTCACACCTTTTTCCATTATAATTGCAAGTACCACTCAGCCATATGATCTTCTGCAAAACTTAAGGTAAAAACGTGAAAGATGATGCATGTCTCGGCATCTTAGCACTTGCAGGGAGGGCCCGGGAAGCTCTTGCTAAGTGGAGAAGACAGAACTTTGAAGCACTTGGAAGGCTGCCAGCTGGCCCCAGCCTCCTTTCCAAGGTGCGTGCAACCCCTGCCTTGGACAACCTGGACCAGGCACCCGCCGCTCATCTCCTGCTGCATCTCTGAACTTCTTCAGCTCCTCGGTTTGTGAAATCAGATGAGCACATTGTCCAGCCTCATGGATTCTCAGAGCGTGGCCTGCGCCTAGCTGTGTCTGCCATCGAGCAGCGACTCGGCAGCGCCCTCCGCTTTTTAATGCAATGCTGGAGAGATGTAACGAGTAGTCATTCCATTAAGTGTGCATATGCACTATTCATTTCATCCAGCTGGAAATTATGGCATGATGTATTATGTTCAAGTCGCAACTCCCACTGAAAATAAATACTGATAGGACAAGAAGGGTATCGCACTTTGATTGTGGGGTGTTGACTCAACTTTGGGAAAGTGTGCTATTAACACATAGTTCATGGAAGTGTGTGTTTGTGAAATTAATCTATCTCATGACCACAATCACGAACATGAGCATGAGGCAAAAAGAATTGGCACTATTGTGCCTGGGTGCAATAGAACTTTTCAGTTTTGTGGGATATTTTTGAAAGATAAAATAGACTCATGTTTGCATTTGCACATAAACTTCTAATTATTCAACTCTTAACCAAATAATAGATATTTATGATTTTGATTTTTCATATAATTGCTTCAACGTTTTACTGAAACTGATATTTATTTATGATCAAATGTCATATAACAAAAGGCCAGCGTTGCTGTTATGAAAAATGGACCGCGAGTGCCCCCTTCTGGTCTGAGAAGAGATGTCCTTCCTGAGGACTTGAAAAAGACCCTGCGCTAATCCCCTAAGCAGCTGTTTTAAGTCAGATTTACACCAATTCTTTCCTGATTAAATAATAAAATCTCTCCTTTTTCTCCTAAACTGTTGGATATCCTGATGATTTAATATTGTAGTTTGCCATTCTAGGTAACGTGACAAAGTCAGGGAATCTTACTCATCCTTAAATAAAATCCAACGCTTTTTTTTTTTTTTCAAATGAAGCTTTAAAATAATCCAGGAAATCATCACTTTACAAACAGTTGAAATTTTATCATCATAGGTTTTACATTCAACTGTGTAAAAGCTCATAAACTTGAATCCATACCTGCCTTAATCACGTTAAATGTCATGTTGCCTCACTTTCCACCAAACCCAGGCTGATACTCAGACACACTCATTCATTACACTCCTTCCTGACATAGCATAAAGGGCAGAAGGCAGCATGATAGATTAAAAAGATATTAGGGTATGATATTAATTACAGCATCAGCACCTTTTTCCAGTTCAGGCTGAATATAAATGTCTATTTTCATTTTTACATCCAGAATATACTTTGAAAGAGAATGGATGTATTGCACAGTACATAGAGATTTCAGCCAGATATCCCAATTTCAAGAAAGCAGCAAGCATGTGCCTCCTAGAATGTTTAGAATTTATCTTTAACCCAATTTGGCATTTTTTTAAATTATTGCAAGACTGTACAATTGAGACATATTATGCAAAGCATAATGCAATCTGATACAATGAGACAGAAATACACGCTATAAAAATCCTTGCGCATAAAACGAAAGCTTCTAGTAATATCATCTTTTATTGCCAAAGAATTTTAGGAAAGCATAACAAAGCAAGTGAAATCTGAAAATGAATAACATTTCATTCTTAAATTACAGTTTTCCTTTGCATTGGGCATCTTCCAAGAAACTTACTAAACCTTGCATTAGTAAAATTGCCTACAAATCAACAACTTTTACTACCATCTAAATATGTCAAAGTAAAAATACGCAATGTTTGAACATACTTCTTCAAGATCCCTGCTTATCCCCAAGCTTGTTCTCAGAGAATTCTTCCTCTGGTGGGAGTGTGGTGCCGAACCCAGAGGCAGCTTTGCCAAACGCCCCTGTTGTCTGATTAGCCTCGATTCACACTTCACTCCTGAAGTACCCTTCCTCCGTACAACTCATATGTGTATCTCATTTCATTGTAATTTTAATTTCTGGAAAATGCCCCCCCTCCCTGTTTTTCCTGCTTTGCCCTTCACAGTCTTGCTTCTTAGCCCTATGCATTGAACATGACGACCAGCTATCCTGCGATGCGAAAAGACTGAATTCATCAGGAATAGCGGGCCTGGGGAGATGGCTGAGCGGTGCGGCAGCCCAGGCGAGTCCCGCTCCCTGACAGGGCGAGGGTGAGCAAGAGGGGATACACCCTGAGTGGGTGCGTTCCTGGTCACATTGCAGCCTCTCCTGGAGCTCACCCCCTTGGACCAGAAGGAACAGCAGGGCGAGGCCTGCAGACTTGGATCGTGATCCTGCTTTTCTGGGAAACTGCCAGCATCACTTACAGCATCCAAGATCCGTGGCATTCCAGATGTTTCTATTCCACTCTTCAGATTTTCAAACACATACAAGGGAATCTTTCTGTATACCGAAGAGTATATCAAACGAGAAGGCAGTTTAAACTACAATCCTGTTGGTAAGAACCAAGAGTTGATGGTCTATTATCACAGAAAAGCCACAGTGCATTCGATTTCCAGCTCGATTTGACTCTTGACCGCATATCGCTACAGCCCTGATTTTATACCACTGCCGATCATGGCAGGTGGGGCACCTTTGAAAACATGCTCCCTGCTGCTCACAAGTCCACAAGTCACTTTCCTCTGATGCCAGCCGCACATGGCACAGCTGCAGCGTGTGTTGACGCCACCGACTTGGAGTTGTCACCAGGTTGATTTGCTTTTACAAACACCCTCCTAAGGGGCCGGTAGTTAGACTTGGAGACTTATGAAGCATTACAGCCAGAGATGTCTAAGTGCAGGCTATACTGCAGACGGAAGAGAATCCTCATGTCTCAAGTAAACAGCACCGTGTATGGCAAATATCCTGCTTTTATCAACAAAAAGATGCTTAGAGACCAAATGTGAAATATGCAGAAGGAAAGAAAAACATGACTGTGAGGTCTGAAAAACTCAGACCCAAATTCTAATTTTTAATCCACATGTACCATTATCCCAATGTTTAAAATATTTGGAATAATAGTTCTTTCCCAATTATATGAGTAGTCATGGTGTTTATATACATCACAGTTCTCAATTTTGGCAATTTATTCTCCAATCTATATTTTAAATCCATACACCAAAATACGATCATCATAAAAATTCATCCCAATATAAAAAAATGGAAGGGCTTCGCACTTTCGAAATACAGCTGTGCCAATCATTAATGCTAGATTCCAACTACTAGATAGAGATTTTTTTCCTGTTGGTGGATCGTAGGAGTTCATGATAACTATAGGTATGATCAAGGCTTATTTCAATGCTTGGAAATGTCAAATGAGTAATTTTATTCTCCTTTATTTTTAAACTATTTGCAGAGACAACACAAAATTATATAATGTTACATTTATTCTAACCTACACTCTTCCTTCAAAAGGTTACTTGTCTAAACATTTCACTAACATTGTGCAATTTTAAACTGAGAGAAAGAACAAAGTTACAAGTATGACAATTTATCAGGAATAGATTAAGTGACAGCTGTAACTAGAATCAGAATTAGTAAATTATTTTAATAGTTCCAGGAAGAATATAATTTACAAAAGTACATTTGAATGATGTTAGGAAGATAGCAGGAAAAATTATTTGCGTAGGACAGGATGATTTCTCTGAGTTAAATTTCAGTAATAAACCTTCCATGTGAATCTCTTCAAGTATAGAGATAGATCTAAATTCATTTATGTCACTGATAGAACATAAAAATGAGTATTTTCAAAGCATTTGCTCAAGTTACATAATCCTGTTGCAAATTTATGGATTTTAAACCACCTTTTGATAAATTGCCCTTTTATCAAAAATCTTATGAAAATCATGTAAGCTCCCCAATTTGTGATATATGAAGTTGGCTCAATTTTGTCATAATCTAACTTCTAAAAATCTTAAGTAAACTTTCACTGTATCTCACTGATTGAATCCCTAAAAAATCTCTTTCCTCCAAAAAATTGTCTTAAACCCTACTCTTCAGAGAAATCTTGACCACTTAGAGGCATTCATTCAAATTTCTCAAAATACAATGAATGTATTAGCAATCACTACTTCTACTGTGAAATATCAACAACCCACTTGATCTCTGTGTGTGAGAGGAAGAGAGAGGGAAGAGACAGAGAGGAAGGGACAGAGAGAGAGGAAGGGACAGAGAGAGGAAGGGACAGAGAGAGGAAGGGACAGAGAGAGGAAGGGACAGAGAGAGGAAGGGACAGAGGGAGGAAGGGACAGAGAGAGGTAGACTTAAAGAGAGATCTGTGCTTTTGTGAGGCTTTTAACTCCTTCTACATATGTGTATCTGCTTGCTTGTCAAAGAAACCAGTTATGCCTTGTAGATTTAGGTGTACATTGACATATTAATATGATAAGGATGATGATGAATTGAAAATGAGTAATTTTATAAACATTTCTTCAAAAGAAAAATTTCAGCTTGGGGCTACCTCTGTCAATTCCTGATTTTCTCATGATGAAATGTATATTTTCAAATATTCCTCCTTTGGAAATGATGCTTGATAACTACTCATGGTCCTGTTTGTTGCAAATTTAATGTACTGCAAATGTGTTTTACAGTTAATCAAATATGCATGGCTCATAATAAAGAGTTATAACTGTCCAAGAGCCATCCAAACGGAAAGAAATTGCTATCCTTCCTTTCATAGTATCTTCTCTTTCAAAGGAAAGTAACTAACATTTACTTTCAGAGCTACGCAGTTAGTGTATTACTAAGACAAAAACAATTATTTTCTAGATAGAACCCAAGAGAATGAAAAGAAAACAAACCAAAAAAATTGAAGCTGAATAATAAGTAGGTGGGTAAATTGATTCAAGCTAAAAATGGAAACATAAAAGTCTTGATTTTGACTTATAAGAAAGAACATTTTTAATGTAGCTATAAACATATTTATGAAATATTTAATCTCCAGATCGTTTCATTGTTTTTGGCTTGCTAAAGAGAAAGAAAAAGAATTCTGTATCTTTGAACAAAAAAAAAAAAAAAAGAATTTGGTGCTAGCCAGCCGTTTTCTCATTCAGTACTGCAAGGGAGAGCAAACACCCATGAAAGCCATCTACTCAAAGAATTCAGATGACCACATGACACTTAGTGAATAACCATGTGAAAAAATTAACGAATAAAAGGAATATGGAAGATCAATCCATAAATCAAGGTACAGAGAGAGGAACTCATTTAAATCTGAAAATATATACAATTTTAAAATATTTGTGAACGGAAATCTTTACGTGAACAGTGAGGCAACAGCTCTATAGATCTAAGCATTCTACATATTAAAGCAGGTATTGCCAGATATTCATATTTTATCATCATCATAGTTTCTCTGGGAAAGAAAATTCATATGTTCCTTGTCTCAGCAATATCTTTTTGAATGGATTTGGAATAAACTCAGAAATGACATCACAAAACAATTAGCCAAGCTGATTAAGGACACTGATCCCCAGGATGCTGAGATTTTCACCTAGAACCCCGAGGA